GCTGGCCCCTGCAACAATTTCCGATCCTGGCCGCTGGTCATTTAACAGTGTGATATTACAGGAACCCCGGCGGGCGGGGACGCCGCGTCTTTGATTGTCGACAGTGTCGTTGTATCCGTGAGCTGCGAGTCTGCGACCGCAACGCGTGTTTGCTTGTTGACTTTGAATCTTCTGCCTGGGTTCGAGAACACCATTTTTCGCGATGGTGGTACAGCATCATGGATCAACCTTCCAGGCGTCTTCTTTGAAGCGCGTCGTTGGCTAACCCCCCACCAACGTCCGCCATCCCTGCAGCTGTCTGTTTAGTGTCAGGCGTGTTGGCGGAAATGGAAGACACCATGCTAGTGCCGCCAACAGTGATCTGTAACTTTGGCAAAAGAGAGTAGACCACATTCGAGACTCGTCTTTCGCCATGGCCTTGGTAATTCAAAGAAACTATTCCTTCAGATGCAGTTGGAATAGGAGGTAACCGTTGGGAGGTGTGGACTTTGCTGCAAAGGTGCGTCAAGTTGCTAACTGAACTGCACTTGTCATTGACCGAAAACCAGGGAAAAGGTTTGCTAAGCGACCCCGTTGCTGTGCGTCTGCGGGGTATTTCCGTCCCTTCTTTCGGCCTTTCCTTCGTGATGGGTGCCACGAGTATTTTAGATGGCCGACGAGGGTTCGTGCTGTATGTAGGTATTCCGAACTCCAGCCAGCTGTCCAGGGTATGGAGGGGTAATTAGTGTACCTTTTTGCCCTATTTATTGGACTGTTGAAAACTTGAGACGTCACGACACGATGTCTAGCTTATTCAGATATGTCGCATCCTCCACTCTCATTCTTGCCTCGGTTGTTGAGAGGATAATAGACAGAGTGCAACGAAGAGCAAGCTCAACGGTGTGATCTATAAGCATCTCTTGCAGATGCGAAATGCGGGCCAACCTCCTGATGTTCTGTCCTCAAGCAGGGCTTAGTATTCCATGTGCACACAACCCTAAAGAGGACAATCGGTGTGTTCTGAAAGTCTTCTTCTGAGGCTTCGGTCTCAGGAACCAGAAGCGTATTGCCAATCGCAGGCGGCAAAGTGGGTTTCCATGACTGACAGGGGCCGGACGAGAAAGTGATTGGGCCGAATGGATTCACGACGGTGCTGCAGTCTGCAGAGAAACAAGTGCAGATGCAGGTGCAGAGCAACAATGGGTGACTTGCGACTCCAGCGTATCCGTCAGACGTACGTAGTACACTGTATTCGTACGCCAGTCTCCTGTGCAATCTGGCCGGGTGGCTTCCGTTTCTGTATCTGCCCCGTTACCCCCCTCTACGGGGTTGAGACCGAGAGCGACGAGGGTATTGGACTGATCTGAAGGCCAGCGCGGCACGGAGAATCTATCGGTAAGAGCCAAGTGTGTCTTTGACACTCCTGTGAACGTCCTGGCCGAAGAGATTGACTTAGTTGCGAAGCTGTATCCTTACTCCGTAGAGGTGGAAGCACGTTGCCGTGGGGTAGAGAAGCAATTCTGAATCTGTGAGGCATCCGTGCCATGTAGAGAATTGATTGGGACTCGGACGTGCAATGGGTCACGTTGTTCGAGGGATAAGTTCCTTGATGCTCGGATGCGTCGTTTCAATTTCAGTCCCGTTCAATCCCATAATCCCAGAACGTCAGTTTGACGGCCCGCGGCAAGCAACGGAGACGAGCGAGGAGGGACCAGGGAGATAATCGGTACCTTTGTCGTGGCGCTGAGCCTTTGAAGCTAGGCGAACAGTGAGAGAGAGGAGAGAATAATTGGGCAGAAGCGAGAAGACGGAGTGCAAAGCAGGCACCTCTGAGTCTCAGATCAGTGATGGATTGTCGAATCCCAGTACTCCGTATGCCGGGTGGGGTTGGAGATAGTGCTAGGGTTCGGCGTCCTTGTCCATCGCCGCCTCGCTTGTGAGGTCGCCTCTTTTCGCTTCTGGGAATGATATCAGGCGGGATCCAGGAGGTTGGTTGCAGGAAATGACATCAACCGGGAGACGAGGATTCCGAAGCATGGGCCGTTGGCCATTGCGTCGATACTCAGCACAGAGTCGGGGACGCAGTACGGAGTACGGGTGGTAAACGGGCGAACGGCATACTGAGCAGGGCAAAGCAGTGACATGGCGATGACGGCAAAGATGGCATCCGGATCCCGACGAGAAGCTTGGTGCACGAGGCCTCGGGGCCGGACACTGCGAGGGTGGACTCTGGAGGCTGGAGCTCGAGGCTCTCGTCGAGGGGAAACGCTACCTGCATGGACACTGGGGGCAAGGGGAGAGAAGGCAATGATGCGCGTATGGCGGCTCTGAAAGCTGTCGTCCCGTTTCTTTTTTGCGTTGGCCGCGGCCGAAGGGTGCAGGCAAGCTATAGAGCCAACGCAGGGCGACTCATATCTCGTCACATGGTGCGGTTGTGGTGAGTCTGCGGTAACTTTGTGAGGCTCTCTCGGCTGGTAATTGGGTCGGCTTGGTCTCATTTCAAGTCAATCAAGTCCCGTCTCCGTTCCGTGCAGTGGTTGTCTGTAATTCGGATCCGGAATCAGACTGATCCACGATAGAGAGCAGCGAGAGGGGAGGATGACAGAAATCAAGGTTAAAAGCAACGGGTATCGAATGAGCGCACGAATCGGCCATCATGAAAGCCAATTGGAAGGCGAGGCAGCCAGTAGTAGGAAGTAACAAGCAGCAGCACTTCAATCGGCAGGTTCATCGAGGTAACCCCGAGAGGGTAAGGGCGGCGCTCCTGGACTTTCGCAGTTCCATGACACTCGGCCGGGTACAACGAGGATGTACACCGGGATACACTACGTATCTGCGGTGGCCCCCCTTGCAAACACAAGACTGGAACTACGGGGCTCTAACCGTGCGCGCGGTACGTCCAGGTCGCCAGCGAAAGAGGGAAAAAAAAATCACAGCAACGGGCGGGCAGTCACCAGTGGCTGGCCCCTCCCCGTTGCCGTCGTTGTTGACCCCTGCTTGGTCTACCTTATGAGTCCTTACTCTCCTACGTAGATACGTACCGTTAGCTTAGTGCAGATACTGGCTAGGTAAGGTAGGTAGTGGTGAATGGCTGGGCCGGACCAGCCACAACGCTGGAAAATGGACAAAGTGGGGTGGGAATGGGTGGTTCTTGCCAAAAACATATCAGCCCAGTAGGATACGTACCTCTTGCAGGTACCTAGGTATTTTAGCAGCTGCTAAGGGAGATTAGCGCACTGGGCTACCCAAGCAACCACGCGCACCACCTGCTCCTGCATCTTCCAGGTTGTGGTCAGTCAGCATTGTCCACCCAACGGACACCTCGCACAATACCAACCTATTTCAAGCTCATTCTTACTACCAGTACAGGCATCTTGCTGTGTGGATAGAACACTCCTACAACCCATTGATACACCTAGAATAGCAGTGAAATATCAAGCTGGCAAACATCTCTCTTCGAATAGTTAAGATGGTACGTAGACTGAGGTGAGGTGAGATACTGTGGGCAAGGTGCAATTGACCAACCAATGCCCAGCCGGGTTCCCTGTCCTTATTCCTGGCGTCCCCTGTCCCTGATCTCCCACCTGACAGAGAGACAGGCGGAAGAAATATGAACAGGGGAGTACGTACCAGTACCTTGCTTCACGGTTCACCTGCACTCAATCAACTCCCGTCCCACGGGCCACCAACTCACTTTGACTGACTGAGTTGAGTGACTGTCTGCCCAGGGCCCATTTCCCGGTTGTGTTCCTCGCTCCCTCATCCATGATCCTGCGGCCTACCATCCTGGTCTTTTGCGGCTTGTCGTCGTTTCTCTGGTCGCTTCCTGGTTGCTGGTGGTTGCTGGTCTGGGCCTGGCCTGGCCTCTCTCCCAAGTCTCCTTCCGCCTTGCTTTCTTTTGTGTTTGTATCCTTCCCTACGTATCTGTACCATTCCTTCCTCTGCCCTGGGTCATTGTGTAAGGTACATACACACCGAGGTACTCTCGCCTTTCCTTCCTCTATTGTCATCGTTGTCCATTCCTCCTTCTCTCCACCACTTGTTGGCGAGTAATTACCTACTAGACGGCCACGGAGAACGGAGTACGGGAATACTATCTCAAATTCCTCATTCTTTCTTTCCGTTCACGAGACCTCGATAATACACTTTGTACGAATAATCCGACACCTCAAGGCAACAGACAATCATACCATAACGAACCAGCAGCCGCTGCACGAGAACGAGCGCATCCTCCGAGTCTCCGGCCGCCTTCCTGCGATTCACGAATCACCAACTCAGCTCTGTGTTTCTGTTTGTGCGTCGAAGCGCATTCGCATTCCACCCTCTCTTCCTCGAGTCTCTCCAAGGTAGCCCGCGACCTACCTTCGACTTTACTACTACTCTCGCACAAGGTCTCAACTTTCGGTATCTGTGGTTTTGGCCTTGGACTATGCCCGTTGGACGCTTGTGCTTGCCTCTGCGTCTCTGTCTCTATTGAGCAAACCCTGTGAGAGGTGCCTGGTTGCAAAACACTGCCGCCCTCATCACCGCCGCCGCCGCTTGCCATTGCTTCTTTATGGCGTCAAAACGTACGTTCCACTCCCACATGCACCCTGAGCTCATCTTTTTTGCCTTTTTTCCTCCGAGCGTCAGACCCGACCCATCGTGCCACCCTGTGAGCTGAGTTGGTCCCTGGATCCCACGGACCCGCGAGGGCCCTTTACGGAATCCAGTATAGCACCACTCAAGTGTCCATGACCTCGTCCCGAGTTTGGTGCCTACCTACTTTGCCTACCTCACCTCGGGGCTCTGACACACACAAACAAACGCGCCGCTTTTGAGCCCGTCTCTTGTCTCTTCTACTACTACCCTACTTCCCGCTCCGAGACTCATTCCTTCCTCCACTGGGTCGCACACCAACCTAGTCCGACTACATCTTGTTGTGTCTCGCCAGAAAGCTGACCGAATGCCTTCGCGACCAGTCACCCCAGCGAGCAACACCCGCTGCCCGCAGCTGTAATCGAACACGCGCGATACCGGCCATGGAGGCCACCGAATCGCGGTCCTCACACGACGGACTCGCCTTCAGTGTGCGCTCTCCGCAACGCGACCAGACCCCGCGCAGTCCGCTGAGCCCCAGAAGCCCAATCGCCCCCCGCGACTCGAGATCAGGAAAGCTGCCGAAACTCGCAACCGGAGGCAAGGAACCCCAGAGTGCCGTGACTGCTGGCCCAGGAGGAAAATGGATAAACAAGATGCGCCAGCCAGGACCCTCAACAAAACCGCTACTACCGGCTACAGAAAGGATATCCGAGGAGGAAAGGAATCAGGTCCCGATACGCCGCATGAGAGCTGACAGCTCTGCCGACGACAAGTTCGAAATCACCCCCGATGGAGGCTCTGCTGGACGTGAAGGACGTCAATTCACCGTTGCCAACGTGGGCAATAACGGTCGGATATATCTGAGGTGGGTTACTTTCATGACTGCATGCGGTGTTTGTTGATTTAGTGCCTCCCACATGGGCGGGAATGCTGAGACCTCACCACAATCTTACTCGGGTTTCCGAAAGCGTGCTGACAATAAACAGACCGACGGTTCGTCCAGCCAACCAGAGATACCCTCAGCCAAATTTTGTCTTTCCCATAACGCCTCCTGGGACGGCCGGTCTGGATGCCTTGACCGAAAAACAGAGGCAAAAAGATGCAAGCGACCTTCACTTGAGCCAATGGACCGCCACGCCACCAACTCCTGCAACGCCTGCAACGGCTGCCACTCCCCCAACGGCGAGAAACAGTCGCTATTTTTCTGGCCACGCCCCGAGACCCTCTCAACACAGACGTGCTCATTCCGACTCGACAGCTCATGACGGTGCCACTACGAGCAGGGACTCCGAAGCTGAAGGCTTCAAAATTGTCATCTCCAAGCCGGGCGATGAACGGCGGGCCAAAACTATGGAGGATCTGGATGCGCCTCATATCCCCCTCCTAGACATTGAGATTCCAAACTGGAAATTAGGCAACCCACGATTCACCGCCAGAGGCACTGCGTTCTTCAGAGGATCGAGTTACGCCCCGACAGAAGAGTTTCCCCGCTCCAGTAACGTTTCTTTCCTCCATCGGTCTCAGACCGGCGAACTCACTCCAAGAATACCTGCGTCAATAGCGTCCAAGAAGCCTAGTCCCATCTCGATTCCTCAAATACGCCTGCCGCCCATGGAACCCGCGAGACACAATGGCCCCCTCAGTCCCGCTCCCATGACAACACCTCGGCTGCCTGCAATCCGCTCAACCTACATGTCGACCCATCTGGTCATCGAACCAGCCATGTTCGATGCCCTCACCTTCAAACCGACATGCGACGACAGATCGATAGTGCGATACTCTCCGGCTACGGGTGCAGTGACAGCTGCTACCCCGCCTCGTCTCGTGGCCGAGTTTACCTCTCCAAGCTTTCTCGATTATGAACTCATCTCCGACTTCTTCCTCACGTATCGGTCCTTCCTCGAGGCTGGTGATCTGCTGAAGATGGTAATGGCGCGCCTGCGATGGGCCCTGGGCCGAAACGATGAAATTGGAATGGTGGTACGAGTGCGAACGTTCGTCGCCATGCGTCATTGGATCCTCAACTACTTCATGGACGACTTCGTCATTGAATACGGCCTTCGCGTATCGTTTTGCAATCTTTTGAACGACATGGTAGACGAGCTATCAACAGATCCTCGTGGTCGCAAGGTTCAACTCAAGATCTTGGCGGAACTGAAGAAATGTTGGCGGCGAGTGTGTGCTCAGTTTTGGGACGGACCGGAATTTGACCCTTCTCTTGGCGCCAACGTGCCGATAGCTCCTGGCGGAATCGCAGGTCATAGAAACGCCGGCCTAGATCCTTCCTTCTGGGAGAGAGAGGACGCTGTCCCACAGCTGGATGGCCTATTTGCGCCCATTCCCGAGGACAAGGAGCAGACAAGCTTCTACGCCGATGTTTCCCGAGCTGGTCATATTGCTGACTCCCAACCCATCATCGACAGACCCGGCACACCAGATAACCGCCATGTTCATGAGATTGACAGACGGCTGGCAGCCTCACCTACCAGCATCGCCAGCATGGACATCATCTCCTGCTCTTTCCCGGGTAAGAACTCGAAAGGAACTCAACATGGCAACAACTACACGTTGGGTGCTCACCCAGTGGCACCCGCCAGCTCGGTCTATTCCAGCGCAGGGCCAGTGGCAACGACTCCAAGAGCTCTTGTTGGAAAGCGTGTACGGGCAGGGCACGGGCATAAGAGAAACGGCAGCCTGACGGACTCGCTCAGAGAACGAGAGCATAGTGCCGAAAAGACTGGTCTACCGGACACCGACTTCCTCATGTCACTGCCTTTCGCTGGCAGCCTGGTTCGAGGAAATCTGATGCCTCCAGGTCAGCCGTACGTTGAAGTTATGTCACCTAGCCTCGCCGGTGATTTCCAGCGTCACACTACGGTCTTTCAAGTGCCGGGAGAGCAGCGGAGCGCATCAGCCATGTCTGGCCAGGGCATGAAGAAGTTGATCGGCAGCGTCCGACGTGCGCTGAGCACCCGAGGACAAGGCGTTTCTCCCACACAGGGTAACTTCATCAACATCTCCCCCATAGGCCCGCGCGGGGCTACGACCAACCGCTTGCCCGGAACCGCCATAGTCCCCCAGGCTAGACGGCAACAGACCGGATTTCGGCCTCCTGTGCGTATAGACCTTCTGGGCGCGGAGGTTGTGGAGGACTTCAAGAAGGCTGTTCGAGAAGACGCAGCCGCCGAGGCAGCGGACGAGGTCGCGAGACGCGGACATCTGGACCCCACCGCTGCCGCTCTACACAGAGCTGTATCCGAACAAGATTTCGACTATTCGGCGGCTCCCAAAGTTTCATCTTTTGGAAGCATCCCGGAAGATGACGTATTGAGGCCGGTCAGCGACATGGCTATCACTACCGGCAGCAAGTCTATCGTCATCGTAGATGACACAATCCAGTTTTCTCTGCCAGCAATGCATGGAGCTTTGCCCGCGACTGAGTCCGTGGAGGCTTTTGCCGACACCTTTCTGCCAGGTGGTGCGGATCCAACGCCGCCGAACACACCCCCAGGCCATGCCATGGGCACACCTAGACGGTCGTCTTACTTGCTTAACCAACATGTTGTCAGACCTTCCATCTCGGTAGACCCACTGCCTCCCTTTGTGCCTGACCTGACAACTCTGGGCAATGACCAAAGCACTCGCCCGTCGATGGATACTGATCGTCCTTTGTCGGAGTTCATCGGGGCTACCTCCAGCCGTCCTACTTTGTTAAGGTCAACGAAGAAGCACATTCGGCAAAAGTCAAGCAGGACAAATAGATCCCTCGACTCGGCCGTCGTCCACCGGCGTACTACCTCGTTCGGAAGTACCTTCAACCCGCGCTCAACAGTCAAGAGCTTCGACGCGACCACATACACTGAAGGCTCCGTCGCTGATGAGGATGAGCCGAGCCCCGTACCTCAGCCTCTTCGGATTTTGAGGAGACGACCAGGCGGAGATTTGCGCGCATTCAACAACGGGGGTGACAGAGATGCCTTGCCCTTGCGTAAGTCGCGGTCGGCTGGCTCCCTCACAACCTACTCTGAATCCATGCGGAGTTCCTATTTGCAGAGCCCCAAGCATGATTCTAGCGCGTTCGTTGACGTCGTGTCGAGTGAGTTCTCCCATCGAGGAGACGCGGATAATTTCTCCCTCGGCGCAATGGCTGAGCCATCGGCAAAAAGACAACTCTCGCTCTTCAGCACCCACTCGTCCAAGCCGATCATGCGTCCTTCATTCGAAGCTGAGGCGCAGAAGCTCGCACAAATTCCCGACGACGAAGACGATGGTGGCGTAGAGTCAGCCTTGGCCAAGCTGGAAGGCAAGTATGAGAAGAAATCTTTCAAACTTTCCATGGAGCCCACAAATGCTCCTCTCCAAAGTGTCGATACTGCGACGGATGTTGAAGGTGAACCCGCTGAGGCTCAAAGGCAAGAAAAGAGAGGACATCGTCATTTGCATGTTCTTCCTGTGGACGCCGCCGCCGTGGCCCAACAAGAAGAGGGATCAGAGCCCCGTTCCAGCTTTCTCGACGTACCCAATGGACCCCGAACCGATGCGAGTTCGTTCCTGTCAGATAACTCGGCAGGCTCGTATTGCTCCATTCCTCTTCTTGAACGCGGTTTGGCAGACGACGGCCAGAGTAAAGCATCCGCGCGGGAATGGACCAATATGTCTGTTCTTCAAGACCCCGAGGAAGAAATATCACCAGCAGTGACTCCTCGCCCTATGTTCGAGGTATCATCTCACACATCTTCGTACGAGTTCATCCGAAAGACGGAGAGCCTGGAAAAGATCAAGTTGGGCGATTCCCCGCCTAGCGAGCAGTCATTCTTGGACGACGACAGCGATGGAGAAGACTTTGGTTCTGACCTGTCATCCGAGCTGTCAGCCGAGATTGTCGAGCCCGAAGAGTTTGCCATGAATCAAACACAACCTCTTCCGGACCGCAATGCTCATCGCAGTGCATCCATCTTGGAGTTTGATCCTCGCCCCTTGAGAGAATCGGCAATGGGCCCTTCAGACAGCCGAGAACCTCCGTCGCCACCAATGACGCTTGTCCAAGCTCTCCAGATGTCACCTGAGGCAGTCCTGGTCCCCGAACTTCACGAACATCAGGTGTATCAGCAAAAGCCCCTACCACCGACTCCCGACACCACTCCAGGGGCGAACCTGCCCAACTCGCCACTTGATCCTACCGGCACCAGAGAAGCACTGCGCGGGCAACCAAAGTACTCTGAACGCGAAAGAGAATCGTCCTTGAGATTCTCCGTTCACCTACCGTTCACGCTTGCGTTTGACTCCGAGATTCTGGCTCAACAGTTTACGCTGATCGAAAAGGATGCTCTCAATGAGATTGATTGGAAGGAACTCATTGACATGGGCTGGAAGAATGCTACCAACAACGACTCTCGGTCCTGGGTTGATTTCCTTCGCAATACGGATGCTCATGGCGTTGAGGTTGTTATTGCGCGCTTCAATATCATGGTGAAGTGGGCATGCAGCGAGATCGTGCTGACTCAAAATATTGAGGAAAGAGCACGATGCATCATCAAGTATATCCACATTGCTGCTCACTGCCGCCGATACCGCAACTTTGCTACCATGAGTCAGATTGCCATCGCTCTGACTTCGATGGAGATATCTCGGCTCACAAACACCTGGGCGATGGTACCGCCTTACGATATGCAGACTCTGCGGGACTTGGAAACTCTCATCTCCCCAACCCGCAACTTCTACAACTTGCGTGCCGAGATGGAAGTTGGCTCTGACACAGGCTGCATTCCATTCGTAGGCATCTACACCCACGACCTTCTCTTCAACGCTCAACGACCCTCGGAGATTGCTAGTTCCCCAACCACTGCACCGCTGGTGAATTTTGAGAGGTGCAGGTACGCCGCGACCATTGTCAAGACACTGTTGAGGCTGCTCGAGGCCAGCACACTCTACGAATTCCAACCAGTGGAGGGTATCACCGAGAGGTGTCTCTGGATGAGCGCTCTTAGCGACGAAGAGATTCGCAAGCACTCACATCGTCTGGAGTAGGCCAGTCATCGGCTTCCTCCATGGCACATTATGACAAACAACCAGTCCTGAAGAAAGCCTGTACGACCGTTGAGGGTTTCGCCAACTTCGAAAATTATCCCTGCATTATACGTGTGCCCTACACGCGACCTTCGCTCACGCTCACGTTCATGTCTCCTTTCTCTCACATCATCATACGTGACGAACGCGTATCCCAACCAAACCACTCATTCGATGCTCATTTTAGTCATCGTCATTTTTCACGTCGCCCTGCCTTGGTTTCAAAGCAGTGGCAATATACCCTGTACTGATAATTACCATATGATATCACAAGAACCTTATTTAAGGCTCAGCAACTGGAGGGGGAGGGTGGGAGGAAAGAAGAATAGGCCAGGGATGGCCGAGCATTGCACATAGATAGCGGTGGTCTATACCCCTTACTTTGCGTCATTTAAGCGAGCGAGCGACCATATCAACTAGGACAAGGAGTTGAAGGGGGAGGAACAAGGGGATCTTTTTAACTGGAAGGGAAAGGACATTTTGGGTGTCCCGGGCTCGAGGATTTCTCGGACAACGTTCAATACCCCTTTTGCATGTTGGAATTCGGCTCGAGGAGGCGAGTCAATCAAACAAACATAACGAGATTATTCAAAACCTTGTGCACCCATCCCTGGCTCTGATGTGATGACTGCACGGCATGTGAACTTCAGTATGGATCGTTGGTGTGTAGTTTATAGAGCACTTCCTATCTGGCGCCAAAAGGAGTTTCTCCACTGACTGCCCTGGTCGATGTAACCCTTCTAGAAACCTAACCTAACATAAAGTGGGCCGGGCTTGCGACTTGCTGTGGACATGTGATGTGCACCCGGTGCTGAGGGAGACCAACAGGACGGTCACTCATCACTTGCTCTCATTTATATCTTGATGATTCCAATCTGCTTTCAGCGAGATAGTGCCGTTGCCCTTCCGTGGCTCTCTTGGTGTGTGTTTTGCTAGCATCTCCCCTTTGGTAATCTCAATCAGCCCTTTCAGGGAACCGGATAATCAATGAGCAAACCCATCAATAGATTTTCGGTCTTAAGTGAATAGTAGCTAGGTTTGATAGGGTATCATAGGGTACAGCGCATATTCTAACTCCTAAGGCGAGCCTTCCTTCACATCCTAGCGGATCGGTTGCGGTACTTTGAGTACCATTTCACCTTCTGAGTGCTCCAGAAGGGTGGTTCAGCAAAGTTTGGGCTGACGTCTTGATCAAGACGACTGGGAATCTTCCAATCTCACTTGAGAGATAACCGGGCAAGTTAAAATAGGGATTGAGAACTGTACAAGGCGAGCAATACCGAGCAGTACAGACGGTAGTCTTTGCTAGATTTCCCAAGTTCCATACCTAAGGCAAGAAGGCGAGAACCCGGTGCTGATCGGTCATGTATATCGAAATGATCCTCCTGATTTTGCTACTGACCCTAGGGACTAATTGCTCGAATGATATGTGTTGATGGGCTAGTATGTGCAATGAAGTCCCCGCACTTCACCAGCTGTTATGATCCGACTGTTCGATACCAGCTCGAGCTGTATTTCTCACCTTCCTTTTGTACTTCCAGTTTGGACTCTTTTGGTCAAAAAGAGACGCAGGCTGGTCAATGACCCACAGCTAATCAGTGTTATGTCATTCGGTAACTTTCTCTTCTCGTTCTTGTTCAGGATTGGCCTCTGTCAATGATCCCGCTTTGCTGGTGGAGGAAAGATGAATAACAGGGGTGGAAGCGACCAAGATTACGCGGCGGCTGGATCAATTATGATTGGGAGATCTGGTTTTATCAGGGATTTGTTCCTCTGGCTGATTAACGAAGGGGCTTTTATCAAAGAATAAGATGGCGACGACCGTAACATTGAAGATGTTGGACGGCTGTGGCAACTTATGCCTTAGTCATGGTTGGCGGAGGACAGCATAGAGGCGTAAGGCACTTGGAATACGACGATCCCTTAAGAGAGAATGGGCGATGAATACGGCATGTCACTGGGTTCGGAAGACAGGGGCGGCAAGGAGTAAGGCCAAGTCACGAAGACGCATGGTGAATGGAAGGTTGAGGGACCAACGGGATTGTGGTATTTCAAAAGCAAAGTCTGCACACCTTGTTTCCGAGTCCTCAAAACATTTCATGATTTTTTCGACCAGAAGCTTTCAACGGAAAGCAGAAAAAAGAAGGGCGGGATAACGATTAAGTCCACCCCTTTTGGCCACACAGGGCTTTCCCTCTCCCCAAAAACGACATCACAAACAATTGGTGGTTTGCCGACTATTTCACAATGTTTTTTGGTTCGAGTATCTTTCCCTCATTAGTGCAGACCAAGTTGACCCTTTCCTTTTTTTTGCCCCCAAGATTGCTACCAGCGATCATAAAAGAAAAAAACTCCGCCAGAGTCTTTTATCTACCATTCCATGACCATTTGCTGTTCCGCCGTTTTGTGGATATCTTAACACACCGTGCTTCGATGACCGGTGCGTTTGTAGGTTATTGTGTTTGGGGGAATCCTCTCGTTTTGTATGTCATGACGACAACTGAATGACGGGAAGGAGTTTACCAGGAAGACTCCTTGGGGGCAGCAGCGGCCGCGTCGCCGGCAGCGGCCCAGTCACCGGTGGGAGCGGCGCCAGCGGCAGCCCACTCGTCACCAGCACCGTCCCAGTTGGCACCAGCCTGGGCACCGGTGAAGCCGGGAGCCTGGGCATCCCAGTCGCCGGTGGCGGGGAAGCCGGACTCAATGGCGGCAACACCCTCCTCCTCAACGCCGGGGAGCTTCTCCTCCTCGACCTTCTCCTCGGCCTCAGCCTCGGGGTCGCGGTCTATTACGCGTGTTAGTTCTCACTTGTTCGATATCTCTCTAGATCTTCGCTAGGAGGGGGAGAGGAATTCCACATACAGAAGTACAGATCGACCATGGTGTCCCAGGGGGTCTCGCGGTTGTAGATGGTGCCGCGGAGGCGGAGGACCTCACGGGCGAGCATCCACCAGACGAGACCGATGGAGTGACGACCCTTGTTGTTGGTGGGGATGGCAACGTCGACGTACTCGGTGGGGGAGTCGGTGTCGCAGAGGGCGATGACGGGGATGTTGACGTAGGAAGCCTCCTTGATGGCCTGGGCATCGGTACGGGGGTCGGTGACGATGATGAGGCGGGGCTCCTTGAAAGAGCGGGTGATGTAGTTGGTGAAGGAACCGGGGGTGAAGCGACCGGCAATGGCGACGGCGCCGGTGTGGGCGGCGAACTTGAGGACGGCACGCTGACCGTAGGGACGGGCAGAGATGACGCAAATGTCAGCTGGGTTGTCGACGGCGGCGATGATGCGGGCGGCGAGGACAATCTTCTCCCTGGAGGCGCAAAAAGTCAGCGATTTTTGCGCTGGCGCAATTTGAAGGGCGCAAAAGAGGTTTCCTTGGTGATCTCTTCTTCTCGAAATTCCCCAAGATAAAAACCTCTCCATCGCGTCGCTTTCTTTGCTTACCAGGTCTTGCCAACGTTGATCACGTTGACACCGTCGGCACGGGTCTTCCACAGGTAGGGCTCCATGTGAACCTGGAGGTTCTTGCTTCCCAGGTGGGCTTGAGCTGCAAGCAGCATCTCAATGTCCTGGGAAGTGGCATTGAAGATCGAGGGGAGGTTAGCGGGAGCCATCTTGGGCGATTTCGGTCTTTCTTCCACGGGGAGACGGTGTCGAACGGTGGTGGTGCGGAAAGGGAAGAAAGTCAAGATTTCGCGATCCTCAAAAAAAGTTCGCCCAGTTGTGCGTCTCGAATTCGTGGGTAAGTGGGCAGCTCCTGCCTCTAGCAAAGCCCTCGCTAGGCCCTTGTGGTCCAAGCGTCCTCAAGGTCCCTCCATAGTACGTACCTCAAAAGATCCAGAGCTCACGTGATGAACACGGAAATGCGCTAGTCCTCCTCGGGGGATGTCTCCCCACCCAGGGGATGTGCAGCGGAGGACGAACGGGCCGGGCGCCATTGGAGTGCTGCACTCCAGATATGGGACCAGAGTCTAGGAAATTTTATGGTTCCCATTGTCGATGATCGCGTTGAAGGGAAACTGCTGCCGCCATGCCTCCCAGATTACAGAGCCTGCAACGGCTAGGCACCGCCAGCTGTAAGCTTCAGCTTTATCTTCAGGGATTCAAGGAGCAATTTAAAAGCTAATTGACTGTGACAGTGTGCCTACGCCCAGCTATTAGACCGACCCCGAGCTTCCTCCCCGTCATCCAGACCGCGAACCTCTCTCAGCGCGAGAAGAAGCGCAAAGCGAAGCAGGACCCGTACAAACATCAACAGGCGCTACAGCGCAAGGCTGCCAACCAGAAGAGACAAAGCGAGATCCAGGCGGAAAAAGATGCGAGCTGGGGCGACCCGATCCACGGCATCCCGACTCCTTTCGTGGAGTCGTTCGACTCGGCCGGCCAGGCGCCCACAACGAAGCCCGTCAAGGACGACAATGGAAACATCATCTCCGATCCTCGCCCTCTGCCAACTTCGCCGGGGCTTCTCAACCACCTCGTCGACGAGAAGGAGCTCCAAGCAGTGATAGAAAAGGCCTACATTTTGACGAAACCTGTAAAGTCGGAAATTAGGGAGCTGGCAGACCCTGCTATGGAGGCATTGGCGGACAAGAAGCATGAGCTGGTCCACGCCAAGGCAGTAGAGGCTCTGAAGCGTATCCTGTCTATGGACAATGCCAACTCAAAGATCCTCCTCCACACCAACATCAAGAGATGTGTCGAGGAGTTTGGCCGACACAACACCGACAAGTTTCTGACGAAGAAGCCCAAGTCTGCTCTCGTCGATCCCAAGGCCCCCAAGCCGCCAATTCGAGGCGGCCCCGATACTGGCAGCTCGGAGGTGCAGGTTGCCATCCTGACTGCCAAGATCAGAAAGCTGTCGCACGAGCTGTCACAGAACCGTGGTTACAAGGACAAGCACAACAAGAGGAACTTGAGAGTCCTGTGCCACAGGCGGCAAAAGCTCCTCAAGTACATGGAGCGCAGTGAGAGGGGAAGTGGGCGGTGGACGCATCTGCTCGAGAAGCTGGGCCTGTCACCGGCGACCTACAAGGAGCAGATCAGCTTCTAGAGCGAGCTAGGAGCGGGAAAAGGTAGACACGTGTAAAACTCAGACTTGTAATTGTCCTCTATGTACACTATAGCGATCGGTAAAGATGCTGATCTCCACGTCATGAACCTGAGCTCCCTCCTTGCGCCATTGTGACCTGCCATTAAACGATGAAACTGGTATTCTACAAAACTAACAGAACAGGACTGCAAAACATTAAACTCAGAATACGCTGATGTAGTTGCCAATCCGGTCTTTCTGGTTCTGGGCTATGCACTCGGCAATCCAGGTGATGTTGCGGATTTCCTGCTTGTCATTAGCTTCATCCAGCTCATGCTCAGGGGCTTGGGTTCTTACCTGCTCACGGAGTCTCACCCACGCATAGACGATGGCGAAAGTGAATTGCTGAGTGAATGCGCTCTTGGAGATCTCCATCTCCTTTTGGTAAAACATGTCCTCAAGGCTCTTGCCGTCGGAGCTTGAGCCGCCGCCCTGGTTACCCGGGCCAGACGGGCCGCCGCCGAGACCGGCTGCCTCGAAGAAGCTCTTGTAGTCGCCAACTCCGTCAACCGCAAGACGGACGCCCTCAAAGTCTTCCGCTCTAGAGAGCATCAAGGTTCCCTCCGGGTACAGCTTACCAAAGCTGGGGTACAACTTCTTGCGGTCATTCTTGTTAAGCTCCGTGCCGAAGGAGTTGAGCGTGATATTGATCGCACGGCGGTCGGCCTCGAACTCCAGGATCTCTGACATCACCTCAGCCGTCGGCGAGCCTGCCATGTCAGGGTGGGTGTTGACAAAGTTGTGGAAGTCCTCCAAGTAGTTCTTGTACAGCGTGTTTCGGACAATCTCGATGTTAAGCTCGTCGAGATCCTGGTGGCTAAGACTGCCCTTGAAGTAGGCGGCAAGCGGTGTCTCAATCAAAACACTGTTGTAAAGCTCCTCGATATTCGTCGCGACGCACAGGACTGGCATCGTCTCGAACCAGCCGAGGGGATGGCATCTCTCGAGAAGCTCGCGGGTGTCTCGTTCGTGAAGGGTGCCGGTAATCAGCAGGGCAACATTGTCGATCATGTAACCGTAGGTGAGGTAGTCCATGAACTGGGCAAGCGAGCCGACAGCATTGGCGCGAACATAGCGGAATTCGGAGACAAGTTTGTCGGTCGTCTTCGCGGCGAGAGCTGATGTTGAGGGGTTGGGAGGGAGGTTGCCGAGGAAGTCGCCGTACGCAGGTCCGAGTTGCAACTTGAGATCTGGGACTGTATTAGACATGCATCCCACAGAAGCACATAGGAACACTCACCATCGATGGTTTCGCACTGCGTCAGGTTGGCATAGTTGGAGCCGGTAAGAAGGCCGTTCCTGTATCCACGAACGATGCCCTCAATGTAGCTGCACCATGTTAGCCACAGTCCATGTACTTTGTCACCCATCATAAACCCAAGACTCACCCGCTGTTGACGTTGAAGAATAAACCCTCCATCTTGGCTGTGTTGTGGATTGTTTGGATCGAAGGCGGCTGGGAGTGGTGACGCCGGTCAGGTGGAGGCGCAAACGGAGGCAGCTGTGGTCGTTGACTTTAGAACGCTTGCTCGCTCTCACTCTCTGCCAAACCAAATCACTGCACGGTAGCTCCAAGGTCCCAGCAAGGCCGACCAAGTCCACCTTCCTTAGGCATTACGAGTTGCAGCAGCGCACAGGCCATCGGAGGCGGCTTTTCTCGGCGAAACAGATTTTACGCGCTCCGGGCCATCCCACTTGCCAATTGGTGTGTGGGGTGGGACCCGCCCAAAGGCTCTGCAGCCATCGAAAAAAAATTGGTGGAGCTTGGTTTGGTTCAGAAAAAAATATTTCCAAACCATCAATCCGCTCGCTGGAAACCTGCCTCCGCCGACAACAACATTTACACCCACGCGCGGAGGATTTCACCCGAGGGACCAATTTGGCCAGATTTGAAGAGCACCGACAGTTTTCACAATGTCTCTCTTCGTTCTCGCCGAAACGCCGGCAGGGTAAGTCTTCCATTGCGAAAAGAACAAGAAGGAAAAAAAAAAAATCTCGTGGCAGCAATTGGAAAGCTAACACGAGAAACAGCTACGGTCTGTTTAAGGCTGCCGACAAGAAGCTCCTCAAGCGCGATGAGCTCACTACTGGACCGACCTCTTCGGAGCAGATCAACGAGATGTAAGTCGCGCTCCCAGAATCAACAATTGCAGCCAGTCTTCGCGAGGAGTGTTAGACAGCAGCGCACCCGCGTGCAAGCAAACCCGTAGTCTCGGCTGTGATTAAAACGCTGTGTTCGAATACAATCGAGGCTGACTGTTGCAAAGGCTCAAGTTGAAGTCTTTCGTCAAGTTCGATAGCTCCGCCGTCGCCGTCGAGGAAGCCGCCGGTCTCAAGGAGGGTCGTGTCCCGCCAATGCTCGCCAACCTGCTCAAGGAGATCAAGGACGAGAAGAAGGCCACCCTCGCTGTTGCCGACCTGAAGCTCGGTACTGCCATTGGCAAGCTCCCCGACTTGGATATCAAGGCCGTCTCCGATGCCGCCTCCCAGGACCTGTTCCGTGCCGTTCGCGAGAACCTTTCTTCCCTCATTCCTGGCCTCAGCACCGAGACCATGGACCGCATGGCCCTTGGTCTGTCGCACTCCATTTCGCGACACAAGCTCAAGTTCTCCGCCGACAAGGTCGACGCCATGGTTGTCCAGGCCATCAAGTTGGTGGACGATCTCGACAAGGAGCTGAACGTCTACGCCATGCGCACCAAGGAATGGTACGGCTGGCACTTCCCCGAGCTTGCCAAGATCCTCAACGACAACCTGGTCTACGCCCGTCTCGTTGTTGCCGTTGGCATGCGCCAGGACTTCGCCGAGACCGACCTCTCCGATATTCTTCCCGAGGAGCTCGAGGGCCCTGTCAAGACTGCCGCCGAGATTTCCATGGGAACTGAGATGACCCCTGAAGATTTGGAGAACATCCAATTGTTGGCTCAGCAGGTTATCACCTACTCCGAGTACCGCACTTCCCTCTCTACCTACCTCGAGACCCGCATGCGCGCTCTCGCCCCCAACTTGACTGCTCTCGTTGGTTACCTCGTCGGTGCCCGCCTGATTGCCCACGCTGGCTCCCTCATTTCCCTCGCCAAGGCCCCCTCCTCCACTATCCAGATCTACGGTGCTGAGAAGGCGCTTTTCCGCGCTCTCAAGACCAAGCACGACACACCCAAGTACGGTATCATCTACCACTCCTCCCTCGTTGGCCAGGCCACTGGCAAGAACAAGGGCAAGATCGCCCGTTCCCTCGCCGCCAAGACTGCCCTTGGTCTGCGTGTTGACGCTCTCGGCGACACCGAGAACCAGGACGATGAGGAGGAGCGTAGCATCCTCGGCCTTACCAGCCGCATCAAGCTTGAGAACCTCCTTCGCAAGCTGGAGGGCAAGCCTCTTCTCCCCAAGGGTGTTGGTGTCGGCCCTGACGGTCAGCTTACCGCCCCCGGTGGCTTCAGCCTGAAGGAGTCCCGCAAGTACAACGCCGATGCCGACGGTGTTGAGACCGAGGTCAACGGCAAGTCCAAGAAGCTCATCCAGGTTGTCGACGAGGAGATGAAGGACGCCGAGAGCGAAGACGAGGACGCCGAGATGAACGATGCTAGCGAAGAAGAGAAGAAGAGCAAAAAGGACAAGAAGAAGGAGAAGAAGGAGAAGAAGCGTGTCTCCATCGCCGCGGTCGAGACTCCCGTCAAGGAGAGCAAGGCTGTCAAGGGCACACCGGCGAAGCTGAGCGAAAAGGACTACGAGCGTTTCGCCGAGGCCGCTGGCATCAGCGTGTCCAAGTTCAAGCGCAAGTTCGAGCGTGGTGACGTCCAGCTCGGCGAGGACGGCACGCCCGTTGTCTTCAGCAAGAAGGAGTTGAAGAAGCTCAAGAAGGCCGAGGATGAGGTCGAAGAGACGCCCGTCAAGGCTACCGACAGCACCAAGAAGAAGCGCAAGCACGAAGATGATGAGACGCCCAAGAAGGAGAAGAAGCTGAAGAAGAAGCGCAGCTCCCTCGCTTAGGAAGCCAAGCGGCGTCGCATTTCTTATTCATAGACGGCACTTGGGCCTCATGTGCATAAACATATTGTGTTCAATGCGCTGTATGATACCTCGATCTCTCTGGCCGGCGTTTTGGGATGGACCTGGGGGGTTTTCATGGTCTGATCATTGGATGGGCATAGTTTCTCTTTTACTACTGGCAGGAAAAGTGCAATGTAATTGCTTGTTGAGTTTGACTACTGCTCCCCCGCCGTCGAATGTGATCTGCCATCCATCCAGTGCCTCAATTATCTATACCTTGCTCTTCACATAGCGATATTTTTCAAATGACAACACGGACGATAATGAAGAAGCCCACCGTTGGTCGCAAGCACATATCACTTGCATTCAAGCAGGTCACCGTCCACTGTAAGGCATGTCTGCTATTCAATTTGACTACATACATGGTCTCGTCCAATCCACCTCATACCACATTCAAAGGGGAATGCAGCGCTTAGTCCTGTCGCCTCTGCTGCAGATGGGCGGCTTTCTAACGTTGCAGCACTGCTCAATGTCAGCATCAACTCGAGCGATAGGAAGACGAAGACTTACACGGTAGCCAGAGGGACCAGGGCAGTCGCCGCTGCATTGTGAAAAGATCAGCCAGGCATTCCGATATTGATTAGATGAATACTTGGGTAAGAAATCTCACGTGGAGTATGTGCCACTGCAGGAGAGAGTATCCTTCTGGCAATACCCGTTGCTGTTGCAGTCCGGGTAGAAGCAACACTTCACATCGGCCGGGTCATTGGGGCAGAGGTTGGTCTTGGTGTAGCCATTGAGAGAGCTGCACTTGGAGGTCTTCTGGCAAGTTCCGTAATTTCCCTGTAAAGAATGAAAAGGCATTAGGGGAGGTCATCGACGTGTTTTTGAGGATAAAGCAGACCTTGCTGTCGTGACAGTAGCTTCCGATAGCTGCCAGAGCACTGGAGGCGAAAAGAGCTGAGATGAGCGCGGAAGTCTTCATAGTTGTTGTTATTCGGGCTTTGAGATATAAAAAAGGTAAGAAGATGAGAACAGGAGATTAAAGTTGTGCTGCTTGCTTCCAATTTCACATATTCCTCCTGACGGGATGCTTCTGGCCTTTTATATACTAGAGTTAAGGCCGGTAACTCGATATAAAGTATTATAACCAGCCACTGCGAGGTCTGAACCTCTGGTCTGCGAGGACTAACCCGGGCCTTGAACGCAAGCCTTGGACATGAAGGTCCCCCGTAGCTTGCCAGAAGCATCGCGTTAGACGATCCCCTCCTCACCGGTCGTCTTTTGGAACATGCGCCTTGCCACTGCAGCAATCAGGATCAAAAGGCTACATCGCAGAAGTCTGGGCCAATGCAGACTTCCATCTATGTTTCTCAAGTGAGACGACAACCTCACCATTGGTTGGTCCAGTCACTATCTGGTCATTTGGGCAACAACTCCGAGAAGTACGAGAATAGTCGACTAGATCGTTCCACGGGCGCTTACATAGGACAACATGACGAAGACACACTGAGGCTTTTCAATGCATTAGTCTCTTCAATACTTTAGTTCCAATGTGGAAGGAGGGTTTACTGCTCGAGGAGGTTGTCTAATAGATTGCTTACACGGAGTCGGGGTAACGTTGAGTCCAGACCGTGCAAAAAGCAAACGAGGTGTTCAGCTGAAATGCAAGATTTAGGACCAAGACAACCACGACCAATCGCTTGGAGCTTTCCCATAAAAGAACTACATTTTTGGCTTGGGAACCCCTCACGAAACTATTTAGACATTTGTCTTTGGCAAGTATGTTGCAATCTGGGTTAGAGTCGCCAGATAGCTCTGGCTCTCTGACCACCAACAAACATACTCTGCATGTGTTTCAAGCCACAATGGAACCTTGAGGAAACTATTCTCAGAGTAATTAAGGATTTTTTTTCTCATGTCTATGTGACCTATTTCTGTCCACCCATTCGCCAACCAAACGTTTTTGAAGAAGGTGAGCCGGTGAATCGGTGAGGGAACTCACACCGACAAGCGAGCACGTGACAAACCTCGGTGGATACACGTGATCTCAACCGTGAACGCAACAGCGGCATCACCATGCATGCTCTCTCACGAAAGCGCTGTCGCCGCCAATCTCATACACCAATGCTGCTCTTGAGCTGGTGAGTGGAAATGGACGACCGACGGCGGGGCAATTTCCATGGCGGCCGCCCGCGGCCTGATCTGCGGAGTCCCGAGCAAGTCACCCAGAACGGGTTCGACCTCGATGCTGAACCTGGAAGCCAGTGGTCGGGTGATTATTACGACCGCCGAGCGACACGAGCTCTCGGTCCCAATGGTAGGTCGCTCTTTTCATTCTCTCAGAGATGCTCAAATCCCAATCTCGGGTGGTCGCCTCCCCAAATATCGCCTGCTGCTTTTCGCTCTCTGGCTGCTGTCCAGTGTACA